AACTTGCTTCCTTGGAGGGCCTTGTGTTTTAGAAAGAGAAGCTTGCTGCTTTGGAGGGATTTGCCTGTTAACGCTGCTTTTTAAGAATTTAAAGTTTTTTAGATTGGAGCGCAAGGAACCAGCTGTAAGATCCAATTTATACATTTTGAAATCATCAAGGGGGTATGCTGAATAAACGCAAAATCTGTCTGGATAACTGTAATCTGTGAAGTCAAGTGTATGCCTCCTGAATTATGTAGATCTCTTCAATAAAGTGACAGTTTAAAGCAACTTACTTTCAGGAATTAGTAGATTTAGGCGAGACTGTAGGAAGTCAGAGTAGAGGTCTTTCGCAAGAACTGATTGCATTGCTTCCAGTATCAAAGTTTAAGTGTTGGTTTTTCTCAAGGAAGAAATCACGCACTGAAAGGTAACACTAGATTGATTGATTATCTTATCCCATATGAATTTTCAAACTTTTCTTATTTTTCTTTTGATTTTGAGGATTGTTCCATCTACCAAGATGAATCTGAATTCTGCAATGCTTGCAATTCACTTTTAAATGTTTAGGTTAACTATTATCCTTGGGCATGCTACAAAGTTCACTGTTTTTATTACCTAAAAAATATTATCGTACTGCCTTAGTAAAGCGTTTCTCCATGTTCTTTTGGATTTATGTTGAATGAGCAATTAGCTATTTGCTAACCTGACAGATGTCCTATTTAGCCATTAGCTAACTAAATTAAAAGATGTCTGAAATTGGTAATTACATGTGATCTTACTGAGTCAATTGAGTTTACTGTAAGATGTTTGATATTTATGCCCGTTAAGGACGTTATAAAAATTAAGATTGCATGTACCATTGTCCTAGGAAGCTGTGGGCTGTTACATAGATCTATGGTGATATGCACCCATGAAGAAGAAGGCCTCCATATGTAGTAATACTTACCAATACCCTTATATATATTGCTTAATAATGATGTCTATGAATTCTAACATTTTCATGCTCATTATTAATGCTACGGTTCATCTATAATTATGTCATATGAACTTTCTTCAGAATGGTTTGGCTGAGTAGCCTACGTCTGCTATTCACACCAGCACCATTTATTTGATAACGAAGAATACAATGATCATTCGATCCAAGGGGTGTACAAGTCTTGCTAAAAAATCTAAGAGAATACTCCCAAAAAGCTTTTGAACCTTTTTCACCCAAAAAACTCGAGTCATAATCGATCGCACCCAAAATATGTATCTTGCATTTGAAAATATTTTTTAACAAGATACATCTGACTACATCAGTCTTGATTTGTACATAGGTGTGTAATATGCCAAATGAATTACAAACATGGAGATCAAAGGATCACTCTACCGTGCAAACACAAATACCATACCAGTTGCGGGAGCAAGTGGCTTAGTATCAACAAGGTGAGGTGTTCTGATATCTTTTATCCTTGCTTTTTTGGGGATAATTTTAGGCTTTGTATGATAACCCTTTTATTCTTTTAGAATTATGCTTGTTATCTTACAACTTCTTTACTATAGTTTTCATTCAAGAAACGTTTGAACTAGCAAAGTTAAACAAAAAAAAATAAACAAGTTTTTAAATATTGATTTTCAGTTTTGTTTTCAAAAATTGAATTTTAGAACCACTAAGAGAGTAATCACAAATCAATAATTTTAGCCAATTCGTTACATAATCTTTCTGTTCCAGGCTTGCCCCATTTGCTACACTGAGGTTTATGGTGACATTTCAAAACGTTAAAGAAGCTATCAACATCATGAGAAATGGAACCCATCAAAAGGTTTGAGTCCTTCATTTTGAAGATACCAATTTCGCTTGCTTTCTCATCTCTACTTTGTACAATCGTCGTACGATAAACGAAGTGCTCGACTTCAATACAGAGGATTGTAGAGGAAAGAATTTTTTTTTTTTTTTTTCCTTCAATTTGGCTCATGTTGAACCACGGCGACTTGGTTTTGCCTTCACCAATTACAATTATTTCTTATTTGTTGGAGGGCATAACCGAGGGACAAAAGATGGTCAAGACTCAATCCAATTCATTTGCCTCATCGTGCTCCCATGTTGAAGCTAAGTCCTTTTTTGTTGTTTTGTTTAAATTAGCAAGTTGAGGTATCGTAGCTGGTAATTATACAGAAAATCATTATTTCATACGTGGGTATTGAATTTTGTTTTTATTTATTAGCTTGAGAAGAACTTTGGAATTTAATTCACGTTTTCATACTCATTTCAAATTGATTCTTTTCATATATAATCATTATTTTAGCAAACCTTGAACATGAATTTTGGAATCTGTAGATAGGAATCCTTTTAGTCTAGGAACAGTGTATTAATCATAATATTGAGAGATGGGTTGTATTTTAATAGTTTGACTCCAATTTTATTTTATTATTTGAACTCATATGATACCCATGAAATATAATTTGAGATGGCAAAATATTCTTTGGCTAATTTTTATTATAGAATAGGGAAAAAGTATGCAAAATAGGAGAGCATGACTGAGTAACTACCTCACAATTAATTAGTAAACACCAGGTCCAATCACCTTCAAATCAATTCAAGTTACTAATTTTCAGGTCAGCTCTTGTTGGGTCAACATCTTAAATTCATGAAAAAAATAATAATAATAATAATGGCCTGATCTAACTTTATTTTTTTTAATTTTTTTTTTTAGCTTAGGAAATTTTTATGTTTGTTATCCAATAACTCTCTAAATTTTATAATTTATCTTAAAATAATCAATTTACTTTAAACTTAGAGAATTGATTCATTTGAAATTAAAAAAGATGAAGATTCCTTCAATCTTTAAAATTGTTTCAAAATAATTAATTCATTAATCTTTCCGGACAATATGACATGACAATTAATTAAAATGAAAATTTTGAATTGATAGTAACATAATTGACATGTATGCCTATTTTATAAATCACAAGCATATTATGTCTTCATTTTGGAGATAAAATTTGTTTGAAAACAAATTTGAAATTTAAAACTATGAATAAATTTTTTGAAAGTCTATAAACCGTCGAATTTAAATTATTTAATTTTAAATTCAACATCAGGTAAGTTATTAAATAAAATATTTTCAATAATTTTTTTCATTCCATCAATAGAATTTAATTTGGTTTTATACAATCAGTCAACTTATAAAAATAAATAAATAAATAAAGGAATTGGTATGAAGTATCAAATTATCCCATAGAATTTAATTTAACTTTATACCATTAGTCAACTTATAAAAAAATGAGTGAAAAAATCAATTTATCCCCTGAATTTGGTAGGTAGTATAAATCTAACTCATAAACTTTCAAATTTATCAATTTGAATTCCATTTAAACCAATATTTCTGTTCCATTGTTACTAAATTCATATATTAATTTAATAAAAAAAAGAAACTAAAACTTTATCAAAATTCACCAATATCAACAAATATTTTATCATTGCATAAAATTAAGCTCTATTAATAAACTAAGATCTACCATTGAATGAATCCCCCAAAACTAAAAAAAAAAAAAAAAAAAAAAAAAAAAAAAAAAAAAAAAAAAAAAAAAAAA